GCCATCCACAGCCCAGGAGAGGACTCAAAAGCAAGCAAACTTGCTGACCCCTGGTTGGACTTCCAGCCCCTGGAGCTGTGACAGCGTTCCTTGTTGTTGAAGCCGCCTGTCGGGGCCCTGGGTTGTGGCAGCCCTAGGAAACCAAGGCCTGGTCCCACCCACACCACGCTGGGGGCTCACGACGTTGGCCACTGTGCTGGAGGGACCACACACATTATCCTGCTTGGTCCTCACGCGACCCTGGGGAATAGGCTCACGGTCTTCACCCCAGAAGGAAACTCCGTTTAGTTACGAGAAGCCAGTGTGGCGGCTACAGTCGTCGCTCAGTAAATATTGACAGAAGGACTGAAGCTCAGACCCACTAAAGACCTTGTCCAAGCAGACAGCAGGGGGCAGAGCTGGGGTTTTAGCCTGGGCCCCAACCCCCTGCCCTGAGCCACTCTGTGTGGGGTCAGGGAGACCACCCCAGCAGGATGCCCCCTACAGCCCAGTGATGGTACTAAGAAGTGCGAGCTGGATTGTTCCAGTGGGGCCATGGCTGCACCCAGGGGTGCTGAGCCTGGACCGGGTCTCGTTTATGGTCCAGTGTCACCGAGAACACTCCTGTCTGTACGGTCCCCACTCCCCCAGGCCTGTGTGTGGCATTGGAGGAAGGCTCCACACTGTTTGTCTCTACCTTTGTCTTCCACTTGGTCTGGGCCTGTGATCTCAGAAGCAGAGGGACCCCCCCCCCCCGGCTCCCCTCTGCAGCCTCCGCCCTCCCGAGACGTGTACCTTGTAGCCCTGGTTGATGCCATTGATGAACTGGGGGCTGGGGGCGTTCCAGGTGAAGCGGATGGTCGTGGAATTGGTGGCCTCGGCGTGCACGTTGCCAGGGGGGACTGTGGGGACTGGAGATCAAGAGACGGGGTGGGCTGGAGGGACCTGTGCACCTCCCTGGCCCCGACGCAGGGCTGGGAGTCCACACTTTGCTGCCTGCCCCACTCCCCCTCCCTGTGCAGACTCGAGGTGCCCTCTTCCTCTCTCTGGATTAGTTGGGGTTCGATAAAGCCTGCCGGACCCACGCACAGGGCGCTGATGAGTAGTTGGGGTGGATATGCAAGATCTCGCATGCAGAACTGGGGGGTCAAGCTGTCTCGTGCGTGATCCAGTCAAGTGAGACTTTGCAGAAGGTCCTCGTGCCTGGGAAGCCACTGCCCTTCCCCATGTCCCGCGCTGACCCCCTCCTCCCCTTCCTCCCAGCTGGCCACCTTGCAGGAGCTGGACACAGGGGCCAATCCACCCACGGGCATAGCAAGGGCCTGGGTGAAGCAGGCCTGAGGTGCTCGGGCCTGGACAGGCGGAGGACCTGACAGGGGCTGGGCCTGGAGGAAGGGATGCATCTGGCCCCGAGGCCACCGCCGGTACCCACCTCCCTGCAGCGTCCACTCGGTGACTTTGCTACTGTAGACCCCTAGCCCGGCGCTGTTGTAGGCCGCCACCTCGATCTCGTAGTTGGTCCAGATGATGAGGTCCTCCAGCAGCAGGTTGTTGACGTCGGCATCCGTGATGTTCTTGAACTGGTACCCGACGGGCAGCCCGGCCAGGCAGTACCTGGGGAAGGAGGTGAGGGCACGGTGGACCCCGAGTCCAGCTGCTCGCCACGTACCCAGGAAACTGCCCAGAGCAACACTTTCTGCCCGAACCTCCCTGGGGGCTGGATACGCTCGGCGTCTGTGCTTCTGACAGGCAGCCGCGGCCCGGTGGCCGTCCAGCCCCTGGGCTGGGCTCCACGCAGCCGCGGAGCCGGAGAAACTGTGAGCCTTTTTAGTTCAGCAGCTTCCCCCTGGTGGCACAGATTTGGTGTGTCTGGACGGGTCCTCTTAACGGGGGACAAGGACAGGAGCTGGACGCCTGGCCAGGGGGGCTGAGAGTTCCTGGGGAAGACCCCGTGGGCCTCAGTCTTTAAAGGCCATTGACAGAACAGTGGTCCCCACGGTTGGGCTTGTTTTCTGGTGTTTTATTTTATTTTATTTTTAACTTTCGTGGTTGAGGATGGACCTGGGCCTCGTGCAAGCTAAGGACGAGCCCAGCCCAGCCCAGCCCAGCCCAGCCCCGGGGCTCATTGTCTCCTTTAGGAGAGCGGCTTCCTTGCCACAGTGAGAGGGAGATCCAAGGCCACCTGTGCCACCACCTGCCACTGGAACACAGAGGCCACGAGAACCGAGAACGGTTCTGCACCACCAGACTTGGGAGGAAGGGCTGCCTCACGGAGCCATGGTGTGCGCCTCTCTTAGAACCTGAGAACGGGGCGCTGAGAGGCCCCCAGGGTTTGGGTGCATCCCAAATCCAACTGTCAAGGCGCTCCAGGCCCCAACCAGAGGGCTTCTTAAAACAGCTCGCCCGTCTCCGTCTCCTGGTGGCCCTGGCACATGGTGGCCCCGCCTTCCACACCACCTGGGGGAGACTATCCTAGGTCCTCGCTCTTCCATGCCTATTGATTTCTAAGACTCTCGCTGATGAAAGTTCTTCTACATGTCTGACCTAAATCCTTCCTACCACAGTGGGTGTGTGTCGTGTCTCCTGGCCCTCGGTGGGCGGAGAACGACCTGCCACGAATCTGTACCGTCTTCCAGTCCACGCCTGGCCCCGCACGTCCCTTTCCCCTTGGGTTGGCTGCTCCTCTTGACCTCAGGATGGACGCCTACCTGATGATGTAGCCCTTGAGGAGGCCGTTCTGGTGGCTTTCAGGAGGTGGCTGCCACTGGATCATGATGGACTGGTTTGTGCGGCCGCTGGCGATGACGTTCTGCGGAGGAGCCGTCGGGGGTTCCTCAGGGAGGGAGACCCTGGTCCAAGAGACAAGAGTGGTGAGCCCCTCGCTCTGGGTCTCTGGGGAAACGCAGGAGCTTCATGGGATACGAGGAGGCCAAACCCTGCCCGTCCTCTCCCCATCAGAGGCTGCACACTTGCTGTGTGCTTTTGGGTAACTCACTTAATCTCTCTGAGCTGGTTTCTGCTAAAAAAAAAAAAAAAACAACAACTTTGCCTGCCTGACTAGACTGACAGAGGTTCACCTTTTAAAAACACTACAAAACACCCAACGCACGCGTTTCGGGTGCCGTCGAGGGACATGGGTCTCAGTGTCTCATTTTTCAAGGAAGCTCCTGTTGGGGTGAGGAGCTCAGGTGTGTTCAAGTGCTTTAGAAGTGGGAGTGCGAGTTGCTTCCCAGGTGCCTCCTGACCTGACCAGGGAGCCCCCGGATGGGCAGGTGGCATGGGTGTGGTGCCCCCCGAAGCCACGGCTGCCTCCCGCCTCCCCCCTCCTGCGTGGCGGGAACTCAGTGTTCCACCTGGGTGCATTTTTCACGCGGCTGACGCTTATCCATTAAAAACAAAAGTTGATTATTTTTGATGGATGCCGCTCCTGTTTGCTTATTTTTACGTTCTTGCCTCCTGATGGATGGCTCCCCAGCCGCACTGCGCCTCCTGCTTCCACGCAGGCTGAAGTGGGGTGACTCAGAGCCCTGAGCTTGCAGGTTCATTAGGACGATGACTCAGAGGCGCAGGAAGGCCAGGCAGGCGCGTGGGCGGGTGGCTCCCTGCACCCTGCGTCTCCCTGTTGGGATTCTGGGGCCACGGCCCTTTGTCCACCTCACCACCTCCCCAGCTCCAAACACAGCCTGGTGCAGAGCAGGTGCTCAACTAACAGTGAGCCTCAGTAAATCCTCCTGCTCCCGGTGCTGGGCTGGCACCTGTCAGGGCCTGTTCTTGTCAGTGTCACGCCCCCAACCCCTGGGGGTGTCAGTGACGTCAGAGACTTGAGCCATGCAAACCCACAGAGCTGGGCATCAGCCAGGGGTCTCTTCATAGGCACCCGGAGTGCCCTTTGAAGAGCCTGGGGCCCAGCTCTGGTGCGTGTGATCTGTGTCACAAATCACATGAATGGATGGCACTAGAGCAGATCATGCTTAGTGAAGCTAGCCAATCCCTAAAAAACAAATACCAAATGTCTTCTTTGATATAATGAGAGCAACTAAGAACAGAGCAGGGAGGAAGAGCAGGAA